TTATACACGAACGCATGTCTCATTCCTATTTTGCACGCGCGCAAAGCGGGATGTTCCCCTCCACAGACGCACGTCCGTAAACTAGGAAATGAACTTGCGGTCCCTGGGCGAATCGGCGCAAAAAGGAGGCGTGTTTCGGCGCAAACATTCCCTGGTGCTATTTTACACTTCCAGAAAACAATTGCGCCACTGACCAGAAAAAACCTGGTCTAAAGTCAGTGGCACGTTGCGCGTTGTTCATGGTGCTATTTTAAGCACGTATGCTTGGCCATAATGTAGTGGGTATACACAACGCGCATACACTGATTCTCTCATCAACACAGATGCAGTTGTTTCTCCCATACAACGTCACCTCTCTGTCTTTCACTGTCCTGACAAGATCGTCGGTCTCATAAACCCAGCCTGGTAAACCCGCCGTTATAATAACAATCCGTCATGCAACATGCGCACCTGTTCTTAAAGGGTATGTTGGATGGCGCTCGGATTGGTTTATTTCATGTTACGCCCAAACCACACCTATGAATAATGAAGCTACTTCAGACCAACCCCTTTTAGATTTGTGCCAAGAGGCATTTATCCCGCCGGGAAAATAGCAACAGCGCCGGGACCCGCCCACAAAGTTACTTGCGCCATGCGATTTGACACTTGCGTTTCAGATCGTTAAAATAGGGCCCTGGGTGTTAGCAGTCACGACATTTCCTTCCCTGATTCGCCAACCACTGTTTACACTGGCACACGCATGCCCAGTGTTGGTGAATGGTCACGTGATCCGCGTTTTCAGTCGTTTTAATGTGGACGGAGATCATTTCTAATACGCAGATAAAACACTGGTGTGGACGGAGATCGAATTCCTTTTAATTCTCCGTTTAATAGTAGTGTGGACGGGGCCTAAATGTGGAGGATCTTAACTGTGAGAAGACAGGCCAGTTTACTGTGACAGGATGAATCAGAGAGTAACCGTTAAAGACACAATTCAATTGTATCACTTGTATGACGTGATAGTATGTTCCAAAGCTTGTGTACTCTTTAGCTACACACTTAAAAAGTATTTACTTTTCTTCACAAAAAGAGTACATACTTTTAGAGCAGCAGTTCCCAAACTTTTTTTTGTTGTGCACCCCCTTCTATGTCCCAACCGGGTTGGTGCACCCCCAATCCCTACTGTTAAAAACAACAACAACAAAAAAACAAACAAAAACGCAACAAGCAAAAAGCTTTGTTTTATCGCCATATTGTCACAGTCTCGTCTGCAGCGTTCTGTCTGCGTCTCCTACACTACACTTCCCATGATCCTCTCGTCTGCACACCCGAACTCACTCCCTCATCAGCCTCCCGGTTAGCATATTGTTTCATCTGTTTCACCTGTTATCCACCTCATTATGTTTGATTCCTCTGTGTATTTAGTTCGCTCTGTTTGAGTTAGTCCTTGTCGGTCAATGTCTAATGTTAGGCTGTGTTGCACCTGTATTCCTGTCTTCTCGCCTGTATTTTGTATTAAAAGTGATCTTCGTTGCTAATTTGGACTTCTCTGATTCCTCTGCCTGCACCACACCCTGACAGATTGACCGACCCCCAAAGAAGTTTCAGCATGGGGATTCTCCTCACCCCAGCTCATTCTTTATTCAACATTTTTCAAGACGGTCAGGTAATCGAGGAGTATGTCGCCAGTTTCCTGGAACTTTCTGCTGGGGTAAGCTGGTCAGATGATATCTTAAAAACTGTCTTTTGGCTGGGTTTGGATAATCATCTGTACCAGCAAGCCCCAGCAGCAGCGTTTCCAGGAACCCTCGCCAGTTACCTGGACAATGTGTTGTGGTTGAGTGGGTCAGCCTTCACCGTTGGTGAGGCTGAAGATAACAGCACCACTCAGCCACACATACCCACCATCTTCACCTCACCAGCCATCATCGCCTTCCAGTCTGAACCCTCATCGCTGGTTCCGTCCAGCCCCGCCGAGCCTGAGCCCTCTTCATTGCTGGTTCCGTCCAGCCCCGCCGAGCCTGAGCCCTTCTCATCGCTGGTTCCGTCCAGCCCCGCCGAGCCTGAGCCCTCCTCATCGCTGGTTCCATCCAGCCCCGCCGAGCCTGAGCCCCCCTCATCGCTGGGTCCGTCCAGCCCCGCCGAGCCTGAGCCCTTCTCATCGCTGGTTCCATCCAGCCCCGCCGAGCCTGAGCCCTCCTCATCGCTGGTTCCATCCAGCCCCGCCGAGCCTGAGCCCTTCTCATCGCTGGTTCCGTCCAGCCCCGCCGAGCCTGAGCCCTCCTCATCGCTGGTTCCATCCAGCCCGGCCGATCCTGAGCCCCCCTCATCGGTGGCTCCGTCCAGCCCCGCCGAGCCTGAACCCGCCTCATCGCTGGTTCCCTCCAGCCCCGCAGAGACCGTCCGGCCAGAACCCGAGACCGTCCGGCCAGACCCCGAGACCGTCCTGCCAGAGCCAGAGACCGTGATCCCACCCAGCCTCCCTCTCCCACCTCCTCTTATCCATCACGTCTTCACCGTTTCTCCACCACTGCTTGGCAGCCCCACTGCTTCCCCGGAGTGCTTCGAGGAGGTAGAATCGTCGTGGGTCTGCCGGCCACCAACTCCATCTGGGTCAGGGGATCCCCGGTCTCCTCCTCGGACCTCCTCGACCTGGACTCTGCCACAGCCTTCCGGTCCATCACCTCCACCATGGCTCTTACCTCCCTCAACTCCGCCGTGGCCCTTCAGCCCACCAGCTCCTCCAGGCTTCCTCGTCCCCCCCGGTTCCACCTTGGTCCTTCATCGACCCGCCCTCGCCCTGGGACTACCCTCCTCTGGCTGTGCCTCGTCACTCCATCCTTCGGGCTCTGTTGGGCTCTTCTCTCCCTCCGGCTCCACCTTGGTCCTCGGTCACTCTGGCTACGCCACGGTCTTCAGGATCCCCGTCTTGGCCTCAGTCGCCGGCGCCATCAGTGTCACCATGTCCCTCCAGCCTTTCAACATCGCCCTGTCTCGTCGGCTCTATGGTTTCATCCTGGTCTCCTCGGACACCTGCTCCGCCTCCATCAGTCGGCTCCCTGGAGTCGTCAGTCCCGCCTCCTCCATGGCTCCTCCCTCTGTCGTCTCCACCATGGATGCCTGAGGGTTCATCTGCTCCGCCCTGGTCTCGTCCTCAGCCTGCTCCGCCCCGGTCTTGCCCTCAGCCTGTTCCGCCCAGGTCTCGCCCTCAGCCTGCTCCGCCCTGGCCACGCCCTCGACCTGCTCCGCCCTGGCCACGCCCCGCTCAGCCCTCAGATCGTCCCCCCTCCCTCCTCTGTTCTTTGGCGTGAGGCCACGCCTTCCGGGAGGGGGGAGTTCTGTCACAGTCTCGTCTGCACCGTTCTGTCTGCGTCTCCTACACTACACTTCCCATGATCCTCTCATCGGCAGCGTCTTGTTTCACCTGTTTTCCACCTCATTAAGTTTGATTCCTCAGTGTATTTAGTTCGCTCTGTTTGAGTTAGTCCATGTCGGTCAATGTCTAATGTTAGCCTGTGTTGCACCCGTATTCCTGTCTTCTCGCCTGTATTTTGTATTAAAAGTGATCTTCGTTGCTAATTTGGACTTCTCTGATTCCTCTGCCTGCACCACACCCTGACGCATATAAGATGAAGTCTCATGTTTTATCATGCTCAAATAACCAGAACATGCATGACAATTAACAACATCAACAAAGTTTCAATATAATTCAACAAAGCTACACACAAGCTTCTACTTTTAACTCTTTCACACGTAAGTTTAAAATATTCGAACTGACCCCCCAGCAAGAGTTTTTCAAGACAGTGCAACCACAACACAGCACTGAAAGAATCTGCTTTTGATTTGTCCTTTTTTATAAAAAAAAAATATTCACAAATGTATTAGCTAGAGCATGAAACACTGGTATTCCGTCAAATATTTGTAAGTGTTGTTTAAACGCCTTCACAACGAGTTAAGCTGTATGCGCGAGGGGCGGCGCCATGTTAGTTTGTGCCACAGTTCAGAGAATCGGATCTGTTGGATTTACAACACGTCGGTTTCTCCACTTCTCACGAAATACATGGAAGTAAGAGGCCGGTGAACTGGGAGAAGAATAGGGTAAAATGTGAAGCTACCTACACAATGTGTAACGATAAAGGGTGCCATGTGCATAGTATAGCGCCGTTTTGTCATATAGCGTTCTATGTGACGCTAAAGGATGAGAATGGTATCTGAAATGATAAAACGTCTCGTCTTATTCTTATTATAATGAAAAGGATTATTATTGCTGCTTCCATAGATATCAGCAAAATCAAAATCATTGTTTTGCTGGTACTTATGTGTATTTAAATGTCTGAAACTTAAAATAAACATTATGTGGTTGAAAACACTCAATAGTTGTAATATATGACAGCACTGGCTCAGTGCCAGCCAACACGCGAAAGCATGTTTGAATTTAGAAGTTGATAACGTATATATAGCGGCTACAGTGCAGAGCAGTGTGTAGAAGAAGACAGCAGCTGTCTTCTGCGTTCTATCAAAAACTGATAAATTATATATATATATATATATTTTTTTTTTTTTTAATTTAAAATATAAGTGATTACAAAGGAAATGTTTACAGTTCATGTTTTTTTTGTTTTTTTTTTGTATGGAAAAATCCCACTTAAAAAAAACAGACCGCCATTACATTTTTCCTCTCGCGAACCCCCTGGTGGCACCACAGTTTGGGAATCCCTGTTTTAGAGTCTTGAGATGCATCATTTGTACACAGTACTTTCATACATTCTTTTTGTTAGTGTATATATTGAGATGAATGAGTTGATGATCTGCACACACATTTAAACAGTGGCTTACCTCCAAAAGCACTGCTATTTTCTCTTGGGAGATGGCAAGCCAAGCAACCTGTTTGTCCTCTTTTAGCTGAAGGTAAAAATTAGGTGGAACATCACTGGCTGTTTTCTGCTGAATAGCCACTCCCAGGCTTCTGCCTCAAGGGCTTTTGTGTTGGCAGATGACTCATTTTATCAAAGACACTGTTTACACACACACATAAACACACAAACATCCTCATAGACGCTCTAAATTGCACAAATGCACACAAAAGGTGTGAGATGGCTGTCACTTAAGCCATATTGATAAAGGTGATTTCCACAGGTGCTGATCTGACATTTTGAGAGCGCCGGCTAACTGGAGTGCAGCAACATGACCAAGGGCACATTTTTCCTGTTTCTACTTGCAGTGAGTAAACTTGAGTCAACTTTAATCACAATAATAAGCTGTAATGAATGATTAATATCATACTTAATCGGTTTATTTGATAATGGTGACTACTGGACTTAATCTAATCCTTAATCTAATCTTTTTTGAAGATCATTATTAGGGCCCGAGCACTAACAGTGCGAGGACCCTATTGAAACTGTTAGGGTTATTAGGGCCCGAGCACTAACAGTGCGAGGACCCTATTGAAACTGTTAGGATTATTAGGGCCCGAGCACTAACAGTGCGAGGACCCTATTGAAACTGTTAGGGTTATTTTTTTTTTTTTTTTTTTTTTTTTTTCTTTTTTCTGCAAAGTAAGTGCCATTTTCGGGGCCGCAACATGCTCAAAAACTCACCAAATTTGGCACGCATGTCAGGACTGGTGAAAAATTTCGTATTTTGTGGGTTTCGCAGATGGGCGGGGCAAAATGGCACGCTAGCGCCACCTAGAAAATTGGAAAAAATTAGCCCCTCGTCCACGTTCAACCTACATGCACGAAATTTGGTGGGGACGTGTATCATATCAAGACGCACAAAAGAGCCTCAAGAACCCATACCCTAAACTCGACAGGAAGTCCGCCATTTTGAATTCGGCGACCGATTTGGGACGATTTACACACTCCGTACTTTAACGAACTCCTCCTAGGGATTTAGTCGGATCAACTTCAAATTTCTGCTGTACCTTCTAAAGGCATTGACGATGTAAAGTTGTGCTATCTGCGCGTTTTCGTCGATGGGCGTGTCCGTGGCGTCGATGATTCGCCATGAAACAGGAAGTTGTAGTAACTTGGCTGTAAATGCCCAGATCTACACGAAATTTTACACATTTGACAAGAGTCCCGTCCTGAACAAATCTACATGCCGACATTCACCCACAGTCATAGCGCCACCTAGTGGCAACAGGAAGTGACATTTAACGAAGCAGCCCCCGTCGCATGTTTGACCTACATGCACGAAATTTGGTGGGGACGTGTATCATATCAAGACGCACAAAAAAGCCTCAAGAACCCATACCCTAAACTCGACAGGAAGTCCGCCATTTTGAATTCGGCGACCGATTTGGGACGATTTACACACTCCGTACTTTAACGAACTCCTCCTAGGGATTTAGTCGGATCAACTTCAAATTTCTGCTGTACCTTCTAAAGGCATTGACGATGTAAAGTTGTGCTATCTGCGCGTTTTCGTCGATGGGCGTGTCCGTGGCGTCGATGATTCGCCATGAAACAGGAAGTTGTAGTAACTTGGCTGTAAATGCCCAGATCTACACGAAATTTTACACATTTGACAAGAGTCCCGTCCTGAACAAATCTACATGCCGACATTCACCCACAGTCATAGCGCCACCTAGTGGCAACAGGAAGTGACATTTAACGAAGCAGCCCCCGTCGCATGTTTGACCGACATGTACGAAATTTCTGTGGTACATCTACCATGTCCAGACACACAGAAAAGTCTCTTGGAGCGATGCCCTAAACTCAACAGGAAGTCAGCCATTTCTAATTTTACCGCCATTTTTGGATGATTTACTCATTACGTACTTTAACTAACTCCTCCTAGGGCTTTAGTCGGATCGCCTTCAAATTTCTGCTGTGCCTTCTAAAGGCATTGACGATGAAAAGTTGTGCTATCTGCGCGTTTTCGTTGATGGGCGTGTCCGTGGCGTCGATGATTTGCCATGAAACAGGAAGTTGTAGTAACTTGGCTGTAAATGCCCAGATCTGCACGAAATTTAACACATTTGACAAGAGTCCCGCCCTGATCAAATCTACATGCCGACATTCACCCACAGTCATAGCGCCACCTGCTGGCAACAGGAAGTGGCCTTTAACGAAGCAGTGTGGCAAATGCACAGCCGCACTGGCTGAGCTGCAGAAAATGAAACGCGGCCGCCTCACACCCCGACGTGGTACAGGTGCGAGGGCCCGCCCATCGCTGCTTGCAGCTTTAATTTTTTTTTTTCTTTTTTCTGCAAAGTAAGTGCCATTTTCGGGGCCGCAACATGCTCAAAAACTCACCAAATTTGGCACGCATGTCAGGACTGGTGAAAAATTTCGTATTTTGTGGGTTTCGCGGATGGGCGGGGCAAAATGGCACGATAGCGCCACCTAGAAAATTGGAAAAAATTAGCCCCTCGTCCACGTTCAACCTACATGCACGAAATTTGGTGGGGACGTGTATCATACCAAGACGCACAAAAAAGCCTCAAGAACCCATACCCTAAACTCGACAGGATGTCCGCCATTTTGAATTTGGCGGCCATTTTTGGACGATTTACAGACTCCGTACTTTAACGAACTCCTCCTAGGGATTTAGTCGGATCGACTTAAAATTTCTGCTGTGCCTTCTAAAGGCATTGACGATGTAAAGTTGTGCTATCTGCGCGTTTTCGTCGATGGGCGTGTCCGTGGCGTCGAAGATTCGCCATGAAACAGGAAGTTGTAATAACTTGGCTGTAAATGCCCAGACCTGCACGAAATTTTACACATTTGACTAGAGTCCCGCCCTGAAAAAATCTACATGCCGACATTCACCCTAAGTCATAGCGCCACCTGCTGGCAACAGGAAGTGACCTTTAACGTAGCAGCCCCCGCCATATGTTTGACCGACATGTACGAAATTTCTGTGGTACATCTACCATGACCAGACGTACAAAAAAGCCTCAAGAATCCATACCCTAAACTCGACAGGAAGTCCGCCATTTTGAATTTGGCGACCGATTTGGGACGATTTACACACTCCGTACTTTAACGAACTCCTCCTAGGGAATTAGTCGGATCAACTTCAAATTTCTGCTGTACCTTCTAAAGGCATTGACGATTTAAAGTTGTGCTATCTGCGTGTTTTCGTCGATGGGCGTGTCCGTGGCGTCAATGATTCGCCATGAAACAGGAAGTTGTTGTAACTTGGCTGTAAATGCCCAGATCTGCACGAAATTTTACACATTTGACAAGAGTCCCGCCCTGAACAAATCTACATGCCGACATTCACCCACAGTCATAGCGCCACCTAGTGGCAACAGGAAGTGACCTTAAACGAAGAAGCCCCCGCCGCTTGTTTGACCGACATGTACGAAACTTCTGTGGTACATCTACTATGACCAGACGCACAAAACAGCCTCTTGGAGCGATGCCCTAAACTTGACAGGAAGTCCGCCATTTTGAATTTGGAGGCCATTTTTGGACGATTTACACACTCCGTACTTTAACGAACTCCTCCTAGGGATTTAGTCGGACCGACTTCACATTTCTGCTGTGCCTTCTAAAGGCATTGACGATGTAAAGTTGTGCTATCTGCGCATTTTCGTCGATGGGCGTGTCCGAAGCGTTGATGATTCGCCATGAAACAGGACGTTGTAGTAACTTGGCTGTAAATGCCCAGATCTGCACGAAATTTTACATATTTGACAAGAGTCCCACCCTGAACAAATCTACATGCCGACATTCACCCACAGTCATAGCGCCACCTGCTGGCAACAGGAAGTGGCCTTTAACAAAGCAGCCCCCGCCGCATGTTTGACCGACATTTAAGAAATTTCTGTGGTACATCTACCATGGATAGACGCACAGAAAAGTCTCCTGGAGCGATGCCTTAAACTCAACAGGAAGTCGGCCATTTCTAATTTTACCGCCATTTTTTGATGATTTACTCATTACGTACTTTAACGAACTCCTCCTAGGGCTTTAGTCGGATCGACTTCACATTTCTGCTGTGCCTTCTAAAGGCATTGACGATGTAAAGTTGTGCTATCTGCGGGTTTTCGTCGATGGGCGTGTCCGTGGCGTCGATGATTCGCCTTGAAACAGGAAGTTGTAGTAACTTGGCTGTAAAAGCCCAGATATGCATGAAATTTTACACCTTTGACAAGAGTCCCGCCCTGAACAAATCTACATGCCGACATTCACCCACAGTCATAGTGCCACCTACTGGCAACAGGAAGTGGCCTTTAACAAAGCAGCCCCCGCCGCATGTTTGACCGACATGTAAGAAATTTCTGTGGTACATCTACCATGGACAGACGCACAGAAAAGTCTCTTGGAGCGATGCCTTAAACTCAACAGGAAGTCGGCCATTTCTAATTTTACTGCCATTTTTGGATGATTTACTCATTACGTACTTTTACTAACTCCTCCTAGGGCTTTAGTCGGATCGACTTCACATTTCTGCTGTGCCTTCTAAAGGCATTGACGATGTAAAATTGTGCTATCTGCGGGTTTTCGTCGATGGGCGTGTCCGTGGCGTCGATGATTCGCCTTGAAACAGGAAGTTGTAGTAACTTGACTGTAAAAGCCCAGATATGCATGGAATTTTACACCTTTGACAAGAGTCCCACCCTGAACAAATCTACATTCCGACAATCACCCACAGTCATAGTGCCACCTGCTGGCAACAGGAAGTGACCTTTAACGAAGCAGCGTAGTAAATACACAGCCGCACTGGCTGAGCTGCAGAAAATGCAACGCGGCCGCCTCAGACCCCGACGTGCTACAGGTGCGAGGGCCCGCCCATCGCTGCTTGCAGCTTTAATTTTTTTTTTTTTTCTTTTTTCTGCAAAGTAAGTGCCATTTTCGGGGCCGCAACATGCTCAAAAACTCACCAAATTTGGCACGCATGTCAGGACTGGTGAAAAATTTCGTATTTTGTGGGTTTCGCAGATGGGCGGGGCAAAATGGCACGCTAGCGCCACCTAGAAAATTGGAAAAAATTAGCCCCTCGTCCACGTTCAACCTACATGCACGAAATTTGGTGGGGACGTGTATCATATCACGACGCACAAAAAAGCCTCAAGAACCCATACCCTAAACTCATCAGGAGGTCCGCCATTTTGAATTTGGCGCCATTTTTGGACGATTTACAGACTCCGTACTTTAACGAACTCCTCCTAGGGATTTAGTCGGATCGACTTAAAATTTCTGCTGTGCCTTCTAAAGGCATTGACGATGTAAAGTTGTGCTATCTGCGCGTTTTCGTCGATGGGC